AGGCAACATCTGTGGGAGTGATTGGGGGCAGGTGGGATTCAGGAGGGTTTGTTGGGATCAGGGGGGTTTACAGGGTCCATGGAGGGCTTGAGGGGATGTAGGCACTTTTTCCCTCACCCCCTAGGAACCCTGACCTCCCCATCCCCAGATGAACAACCATGTCCCTGGTGAACCTACCCTGACCATTCCTCCCACCAGGACTTACTTCCTGGGCTCCCAGCATTGGCGAATGCTGATAAAACTGGCACCAGGTGTAGCTTGTGGGATGAATGGTTTGCTAGGTTTTGGGTGGGGAGGGAGAGGAAACCAGCTGGTCCATGGAAGGGGTTGTCTGTCTGGGTGTGGGGAAGAGGGCTAAAAGTAGCCCAATGTGTCAGGAGGGTGGGTAGGAAAAGTACAGCCCTGGGACTGGGCCCAGCTGTGGGCTGCACTGGGAACTGTACAGAAGTTCAGGACAGTTAGTTTGGTCTAAAAAGGGCCTACCCCATCTAAGTTAGTCAGCCTCAGAAGTAGGGTTACCTTAGATTGGCTAGGTCATTTTGAGACTGATCTAACCATTCTGGAACTTCTGTGCAGTTCACACTTAATTTGACCTAATTAGGGATCTAAATGTAAGATCCTTACCTCTGTGCACAAAGTTAGATTTGGTAGCCATTTTTAACACATTTTAACCTCCCTGAATGTTTGTATGTGCCCACATAGCACAGCAAGCAGAAGAGTTAGCCAGTTGTCTGCAAAGGCAACTTGTCATGTATTTAACTTTTTTCTCTTTCTATGCAGCTTTATTATTAACAAGTGTGTCAGTCCTCCCTACCCCCACCCCATCATTACTTTGAATAGAGTAAAAAGTAATGAAAATTTAGAGTTGGTTGAAGTAATTTATTTAACCTTTCCAAGACATTAACTTACAAACTTAGTGTATATACGATCTTTTACATGCCATCTAAAACTTCCTGTTGTAAACAATGGGGTCACATTTCCCATCTGAATTGGAATCAAGGTATGTACATATCAAATACTTTTCATAACTTTGTCTAGAAATCTATGTGAGCACAAAAATGTGCGTAGAGAAGTAATTAACAATACACTTGTCACACTGATGAATATTCAGACTTCTAAAAATACAGCACTGGCTTCCTTGAAGTGATCTCTTATCAACTTTGTGGCTTCCCCCCCAACTTAGTTACATCCTTTAAATAAGTCTGCAACCAACAGATATCAAGTGTTTTACTTACCCTGGTTTTTAACTTTGTGCCAGCTCTTTTGAAGCCTGTCCTAGATTGTTTGGCAGTATTCTTTAACATACTGTTTAAAATGCCTATTTTAATTAATGTCACAGTTTTATAGTTTCATAGTTTCTAGGCTTTCTAATATGCAGATTCACTGTTGCCCTTTCTTGGATAGAATGGGAGACCTACTCACAATGGGAGACCCGGTCACAACATAACACACCCAATTTTAAGCATGTAGAAATTCATGGAGATTAAAAGAATTACTGAAATATCTAAAATTAGGCACAGACTTAAATACCTTATTGAATCAGAGCATTAGATTATATTTCTTGTAGTCACTCAGAGATGTCTGATATGAAATGTCTTAAGGTACCAATTTGTAATGTAAGGGGAAACTGCAGACAGAAAAACATCATGTAGTTATAAACTTATTGTCAGTAGTGAACTACAGTTAAAGGGATATTATGCAGTTTCATGAACATTTTAAAATGTTTAGAGTTAAATTTTGAAAATGCATATGCTTTTTTTCTAATTTCTATTTTTTCTTTTTTTGTGGAAGGATAATGCAAATAAAGAGAGAAATTGATTGGAATAGTAAGTTTACAGTGATGACATTGTTTATATTGAAAGTTCTGTTGAGTGCACAGCATAGATCAGTATTTCCCCCCTATAATCTTGTACAGTTATATTGAACTTAGGTGTTGCTCGTTCAGATAATAAGTACAATATTTTTATTCTGAAATATCAATATTCTAAGGTTGACAATAACCCATAGTTTCTAGAGTCGGAAGGGACCTGAGTAGATCATCTAG